CCCCAAAACCCCAAAACCCCAAAACCCCAAAACCCCAAAACCCCAAAACCCCTTTCTATGTATTAAATATTGATTTAAATTACAAATTTCCCCGACAAATAATGGCGTACAAAATGAATGACTATGATTTTGATACCAAACAGCAAATGCATAGTATTTTAGACAGTGGAATGAATAAGCTCAGACAGTCTTTTGATAGAAGCAGTAATGCTAGCCAGTCTATGGCATCCTCAAGACAAAGTCCTTCCCTCAGGAAAAAGAGCCAAATTAGACAAGTCTTGGATGACATGAAGTCTAATGCCTCTTCATCAATTGCAAATTACAATGACGATACTCAATATGGATTCTATAATATGCCTTCGCAGAACACGAATCCTAAGAATGAGACCTCTATGTTATCAAATATTGACTTTCCCGCAGAATCGCCAATGAAGAAGGAAATAAAATCTAAAAGAATGAAGATGCAGAGTGAACTTGACCTCCTCCAGAGAAAGATCCAAGGGCTTGAAGAAAGATTTGCTTCCAACGTCAAAGATTCAGGTATATTACTAGTTAAATGTAGGCATTAAGCAAAAAGAGCAGTCCAGCCAGCAATGATTTACCTTCCATAATACCGACACTAAAGAAAACAGAAGTCTCAATGAAATGGAGAAGGAAGAACTAGAGGATTTGAAGAAAAAGACTTCTCCTCTTAGAATAAAGAAACAGAAGCAGGTAGAATATGATAATATTATGAACCAGAATAGTAACTACAGTAATGCCAGGAACAGCTACAACTCTTTGATGAAGAATCATGCAGGCAACCCAAGTTATTTCATGAATGATAATATGAATGAGAACATGAACTATTCCCAGACTCAAAACATTTTGAAGGTAAGATCACAATTTAATGCCTAGGGGAGCCAACAGAGTAGATATGATATGAATGAATCTCACAGAAATGAGAGCCATTATATCAAAGAACCTCCTATCCTTGACTCAAGAATGAGCCAAGATGAATTATATATGGAAAGCGTCCAGGAGAACAAAACTCTTAAGAAGAGTAGCAGAAATGCTAAAAATAGAGCTATTGTCAGTTCACTTTTGAGCAACTCTTATGACAACGCCAAGAGGCCGTCCAAGAAAAAGGCGACTAATACTCACAGAAAGGAGTTTACTAATAGCATGAACCCAACCAAGAACAGTTTTAGGAAAGATCAATCAAACCAGCGAGCTATTTCTACAAGAAGTGTCAAGTATAAACCAAGTATCCTCAAATCAAGCAGGCTAAGTGAGTCTCGATCGGAAAGATCCTTCAGTCATCACGACAGGAGTATGTCACTAAGTCTTCGAAACGAGAAATCTGCCTTCAAAGACACGTTGAAAAAGATAAGATTTGAGGACAAATACAAGGATGCATATGCCAAAATGGAGGATTACAAGGGAAAATATATCAAGCAGAGAAAGGCCAATATTGAACTCAAGAAGAAAGTCGAAAAATTAGAGAAAGAAGTGGAGAAATAAGGACAAATATCAGAAAAAGAACAAAGAAATCAAGAAGGAATATAATAACCTCATTGACGCCTTTGATAAAAGTGAAGAGATTCGGAAAGGCCAGAAAGAGCTTATAGCTGCTTTGAGAGCAGAAATATCAAAATTAAGAAAGAAAGGAGATAAAGAGTTCTCCAGTAGACCTAAAACACTTAGAACTAAGAGTAAGTTTAGATAAAACTAAATAGTAATAGGAACGAAGAGTACAACTAGGAAGAAGTCTAAGAAACCACGCAAATCAACAAGAACATAATTGTCAATATTAAAATTAAAATTAGGGGTTTTGGGGTTTTGGGGTTTTGGGGTTTTGGGG